ATCGAATTCTTTGGAGCGGAAAAAGGTGGATGATCTGAACCACTGGAATACCATAAGTAGCCTCATCGGTATTCGGACTAAACCCTTCATCTTGTCGAGAATCACCCACCACCGGAATTCCAAGCATTATGGCGAAGCCAGACTTCTTCGGGTTGTGCTTATCTCTGTCAAAGAGGTGGTAGCAGCGTTGCTTTCGTCTGCTCGTCCCCATAAAGAAATCGGATTAGTCTGCTTCTTTCCAAACGTTCCATGGGGTGAGCGCAAGCGAGCAACGCAGAGATTCAACGAGTTCTGGCTAATCGCCGCAACCAGAACCATTTTGGTCCACTGCGTACCCCAGTCATGAGCAAGATGAATGCGAAGCAAAGGCACACGACCAGAAGCAATGGCGCTATATTCGGGGGGCTCTGTTGTTCTATGATGTTGTAGCTACTTCTCTCGAGGCTGTAAAGATCAGAAAGCTACAAACGGTGTGGCCCAAGGATAATTTAGGTTGTGTTACAATCTAGGCAGATGGCACTTAGGTCACCGGAACGCTAGCATTCACTTCGGAACAGACTGCCAGCCGACAGCCGTTCAAAGAGGTGAGCGAAACTGTCGTCTGACCTAATGCGTAACTTCAGCAGACAAATGATGTTTTGAACCTATCGGAAATTTTCACCGGAAGCAGGTTTGAAAGAAGTGAGCATCTTCCTGTTCAATCCTGCATCCACTCTCTATGCATTGTGCAAAATGAGTTGTCCGAGGTGCTAAGCACCGTGCCACTAAACCCAACTCCAAGCGACTCGCCGATGATATCACAAAAACCGGCCAGCGGACGAACATTTGACGGTCGGCACAACCTCTCATCCTATCCACAAGTGCATCGGATCGTTGCTGAGAACCGAAACACTTTACTGCATGTACACAAACGCTCAACGTCTCCTCAGCAAAATCGCTAAGCTTCGGTTGCGACAGAAAACAAACGCTTGGGATTTCATCTCCATAACCGAGACTTGGTTACACTCAGGGGATCGCGATTCAGGGAATGTCCTTGTTTCCACACGATCGTCCTAGCAAGGGAGACGGTGCTATCCTATACGATCGTAACGACTTACATTGCCTACCAGTTGATGATCCGGAGACGCGAGTCACCAAGTAGGTATGGTGCCCTTTGAGTCTCAGACACAACGACAACTTTATCGTGGTAGTCGTATATCGCTCCCCATCGTCCATTCCAGGGATGTATTCCCGCCTAATATCATCACTGACGAAATGTTTAGTCCCAAGTTACAGCCACGTTCTTATTTCCGGCGATTTCAACTTGTCCAGCTTGGAAAACTCGGCATCCCCCAGCGAAACATACAAGGCCGAACAGCAAGACCTTATCGTTAGTATTCCACTCTACAATCACATCACATCAAGTACAGAGCTGATAACAAACAATCGGTACTAAGAAATGTGGAGCTTATGATCGACAAGCCGTTTATAGACACCCCACTAGGGTCAAGCGATCATATCACCATACTTTATAACTATGTGTGTTACGCTGAATATCCGGAGGAACACATAGAACTGACATGTAATATCATACATTACAACGTCCTGAACAACCTAGTAAACACGACCGATTGAGAGTTCTTGAAAGGTGGCTCACCTAAAAGTGCCTGGATTCAGTTTGTTGGACACGTCAGCAATGTAACCCCAACTGCTTCACAAACGAAGTGGGTTCGCTCCAGCAATCCCTCGCCTTTCATCAGAAGTAGAACCCGCAAGCAAAGGTCACTAAGGAGTGCAGCTTGGCACACTTATACAGCTCGTCCTGGTCCCGTAACCTGTAGCGATTTCGTGACCCAGCACAACCACTGTAACATGCTTGCCCATGAGGACAAATTGACTCCTCAACTACATTTGGTCTGTAAATTTGCCAACAACCAAAAGCTCCTATACAAGTATGTTAACACCACCCGGAAAGGGAAGCTCGGTATCCTCCCACTTAGCAGGTCAGACGGAATGGCACGGAGTCCCTAAGATGCAGCCGACGCCCTACGATTGCAGTATTTCCCAACTTCGAACGAGAAGTCCGCCAGTGTTACATACCCACATCACTTGCCCCAACTTTAACACTCACCAGCACTGATTGTACTGCCACAGCTGTGTTGAAGAAAATGCTCTCACTACACATCTACAGCTCTCCCGGAATTGCTTGTATTCAACAGAGGTCGCTGAAGGCAACAGCAACAGCGTTGGCGGGGCCATTACCGTATTTCTTCCAAACGTGCTCGGATAGGCAAATTATGCCTATCACGTGGAAATACGGCTTAATTACTCCCATTTTCAAAAGCGGTAATCGCTCGGGACCCGCCAACTATCGCCCAAAGGTCTTCCTCCCTGTGCTCTCAAAGGTGTTGGAGGCAATCATTGCTGAGGCTTTAGTAGACCATATAGACCGGCACAACATCATAGCATTTCAGCAACACGGTTTCTGCCAGCACCGTTCATGTGCTACCAAACTACTAATTGCACGCATTAGTTGCACGGAAGTGGCCGATGAAGGCAGAAGGAGAGACGTCATTTACCACGACTTCCCCAAATCCTTTGACCGACTGGACTACTGCATTCTGCTTCACAGGCCCGAAAGCTGTGCAGTTGGTGATACTGTCCTTGCGTGGATCTGGAAATTCCTATAGGATCGGCAAATACAGATCAGAGTTCGAAGGGCGCTGTCCGATTAGATTTAGCTCGAATCTAGAGTTCCACAAGAATCCGTTCTGGGGTCGCGTCTGCTTTTCGTGTTCATTAACGAACTTGCGCGTTTAATTGCCTCGGATTTCTTGCTGTTCGCTGATGATGTTTAGATGCGCAGGACGATCACCAAGCCAGTAGATCACAAGTCACTTCAGCGAAACCTGGACGGGTGTAGGAGTGGTCAATCCACAGTCTGCTCCAGTTCAATTCGGGAAAGTCTAAGATGGTTCACATTCGCCACCAGCCGAACATAACATATAATCTTGGAAGCCATGTCTTTCAAGCAGTCACCCAGAAGCGCCACCTTGGGTTACTAGTCCAGGCTGATCTGGGACGCTCAGCAGAATCTGAAAAGGCGTCAAACGGTAGAAACCAACATGTTGGTATGCTGCGGAGGCCATTTGGCGGTTTGATCCCTCTGGCTGTTTGCAGTTGATTAACACCTACGTGCGGTCTCATGTGGAATACGCGATCCAGGTGTGGCAGCCCTGGCATAAGCAAGACATTTCAACGCTCGAGACTCCACAGCGACGGGCCAGGAAGCACGTCAAAGAGTTGTTCCATCTTCCTTATCAACTTAGGCAAGGAACCCTAAAATTATACTGCGGCCGGTACCGGCGCCTAGGTGGCGACCTTATAATGGCATACCAGATTCTGAGGTACCCCAACCACATCTGCTGACACCTACTACAACGGAGGCACAACACGAATTTGAGGGACCACCAGTTCAAGTTAGCCACACAATAGAGTCGGCTAGAATGTCGACGGAACTTTTACTCTCTTCCTGCGTGCCAGCCATGGAACCCCACCCCCAAATTACGTTATTTCCGCCCGAAATTTCACTATGTTTAAAAAACGCTTTCCTTTTTCCCTAACCCACCTACTTTACGTGATATAGTCTGTGTGCATCCACGGACGATATAATTGGACGAAAGTTACGCAACCGGAATTAACCTATACGACTGAGGTTGGCCCTCTCTGTATGCCCTGTGAAATAAAAATAATAACTTGCATATTATTTGATTACTCAGTTTGTTTTCCGAACTTGTACTTTGAGATTTTTACGACGAGCATTTGTATTGCACTAGTAGAGTTTGCTGGTGGCATGCGCCATATAATCTATAATTCGCACGTCAATCGCCTTGTTACGTCCCGATGCGATATCTCCTGTGAGCACAAAATGCAACAAAAGAATTCGTTGTGGCAACTGCCTTTAATTTTCTTATGATGCGATATTCTTTTCAGCAACGCTCGGATATATATTCCTCTTTCGGGCACTTATAGTACTGAATGCTGGGAGAGGACGCACTTTGCTAAGCAATTACGATTCACTATCGTAAGCATATACAATTATTAGACAGGCTTGACCAAGGAATTTTATGAGACTTCATGCACTCTATATATAACGTTTTAATTGACGTCACACTAAATCTGGAGTGGTTGGAAACTCAGAAACTTTTTTCTCCCGTTTCCTTACTTAACGTATCGATTCGGTCTAAACTGCCGTTGCTATGCGTTGCTACAGGCTTGACAATCTTCACTCGCACTGTTGCGTGCCTTTCCAAACTATTCCGCCCAGTCACATTTGCACGGCCACTCCTATTCTTGATGAGTTAGAAATCAGTTGTAAATGAATGTAGTCTTTTATTGGGTAACGACGCCACCAGTGTACTTGTTCTTGTCACCCATTACCTAGTTGCAGCTTTAGCCAAGTAGATACAGCTTTCAGGATCCTCGATTGTCTTAAGCAAATACTTGCGTTTCCCATTTAAATATATCCGGAAATGCGAAGAGAAACCAAAGCATCGGGTTTGCTTACGGTGACCTACCAAGTAAAGGAAACTTGCGCAAATCAGTAACTTCTGCTTTTAGTTCGATGAGCTCAACAAATGGGTTTGCTTAACGTTCCGCATATCAAATACTTTGACGTTTAAATGATAGTAAGTTGTTGCGCAGCGATTAGCATAAACCTTTGCAGTAGGAATCTTGCTAGATTCATCCCAATTCATCTCGCTAAATCTCAATGATCCATCTCCATTGCTGGTTTTAAATTTACTACTCGACTAGATTTCAGATCCGGCTAGACACCAGCTTCTTTATCGAATGTCTTGGAATGCTATAAGCCCCCAAGTTACCATGAACACCAAAATATGAGCCCCAACTTCTCAGTAAAAATACATAGCAATCATTTTGGACCGGCATGAGTTACGCAAAGTACCTGGGGTGAAACAGTTGGGTTAAGAACACTGCATGTACCATAATAGTTAACGTACCAGAAACAGGTCCTTCACGTTTGCGAGCAATTTGTCTGTTTCATTCTCTCCTTGTTCGATCATCTGCTCTAGAAACAAATAGATGGAATTTGTTGCATTTGTTACTGCGGTTTTGAGGCTTGGTCCGTCAGAACGAAGTGGGTTGGAAAGCTCAAATACACTGCCCATGGAGTAAAATTGGAGTATTAAGAAACCTAATATAAGCAGTGTGAGCAACAGTTGTGCACTCAGATAGAGATAATGAAGAATTTTATCTCGCTTTTCTGGCCCCGAAGTATTTGAGTGCTTATCCTTCAGGATGGGATCTTTGGATGGATGACGGCGTACGGGGTCCAATTCATAACCGGAGGTTGATACGTCAGTTTGGTCAGAATGTCCAGTTACATTGCGGTATTCCGCTGTGACCTAAGAGAGAAAAACTTAGATGCAAACATTTTGATATACCTCGATTTGAAGCGTGATTGCTCGATATCAATATAAGTTAAATTGTGAGTGAGCAATTCTACATTATAAAGCCGCTAACGATGCTGTCTTGCTCACGGGAAAATAGAACGATCTTGATATATCAACTGCACTAGTTATGTCTAGTTGTTGAGTGCTCCTGCGCTTTGAACATCTAATATGTTATTCGACGCCAAACAAGCACGGTGTATGTGACCAAATTCGTCTGTCACTAATATAGCGCCGTATGGTAAACCGGATTGTAGAAAAACAAATAGGTGTTCTGAATAGCTTTGTCTTACTGTTCACGATAATTTGTCGGTTTAAATTTGACGTGAAAATAACAATGGTGGGTTGTTCTTTGGTTTACAGAACACAGTTGTGGTTGTTTAGCCTTGTGGCTTAGTGCTATTTTCAGCGTAGCATGAGGTACCAACGCGTCTGCAAACGAACCAACAATCTGGGATAAAAACGTAGCAACTGTAAGCTCATGTGTGGACTAATATATGGCTGACATCATCCGGTCCCGAACATGCCTGTCCCTGTGGCTTCCAAAGGACACCCACAGTATGGCTGCGCCTTCAGAGGGACGATGACTGGCTTACGCTGCACCATCCACAGCTCTATCCACACACACCCCATATCCAGTGTAAACCCGAAGGAATAAAACCGGGAGGTATGTGGATTGGAGCCACGTTTCATCAACGGAGCCGGCCCACACTCCTTTACAGGCAAACACAAGCACGCTGTATTTGGAGAATCAAGCGCACACAAGGCGGTGGCCGAACCGTAGTCCGCTCCATACTGGGAGCATGGAACCACTCTTTGACCCTAACACGGCCACAAGGATGGTGCACCCCGTCCCCTCCAGCAACGATCCACTGTCTCCTGGAGCCAGTATAGACAAGATAGTGGGTAATAGACAGGTAGGCACCTTGTCAACATGCAAATCAAGCGAAGCCACACCGGGAATATCAAATAATCAAGACGTAATTTGAGGAAAACCAAACAAGCAACATTAATACAGAATATAAATCGAGTAACGGAATTGAAGAAACCAAAAATAGGGAAAGAACTTATGTCCAAATAAAAAACCTAAATGAAGTGCGAGTTGGTTTAGCCCATTTGCGGTGAAGGAGCCTCATGAATGTAACCCCAACCTCAGTGTAAGGCACGGCCGAATTTATTCTCCCTACAGAAAAATATGCACCGAAAAGTTAACGTGTACCAGAGGTTGCAGTCCAGTCTATCTGAAACCTTCATTACATTTAGAATAAAAGTATGGAATACGACTACATATTAAGGGCTACCCTTTAAGTCTCAACTGTTTACCGCACGAGCAGCGCAGGCAAGATCTTCAGGCTAGTCGATATATGGACTTCGGTCAAGACCTACGGGTTGTAGACGCCATTTACAAGGGTCACCTCGCAAAACGATCAATGACGATGACCAATAAAATCGCTTGTGCAACTAGCTAGCTCACACCTACCAGTGAATCGCCCGCTCTGCTACACAAGGTGACGATGTCACCTTGACTAGTGACAAATGCAACTAAACTGAACCTCAGCGAAGAGTTTGTTTAAGAAAGTAAATAAGTCCCGTACAAATAACTCTATTGTGCTTTGATGCGTCATATTAGAAGAATAAACTTCAAACAAAATTTCTAGGAGCTGATTCTAAACCACATGGAGTAGTAACAACCTCTACTGGCTAAGTTTGGAAGGCGTGTCTGACTCTAAATTCAGTCTAAGCTACGGTCATCTCTAACCATATTATCAATATAAGTATATAGTTGCTCTTTGATAACTGCCTTGACGGGGTAACGAGTATACGAAGTTCCTTCGAACTTCGTAATAACGCTTGAAATGAGGAATATGTGCTCTAGTTCGAATGGATTTTTGGCTAATACTTTTGTGTCTCAATGCAACTTCCTCGTGGTTATCACAAAGTCAAAATTGTACTTAACATTCAAATGAAACCCACAAATTTCAGTAACCTATGAACGTATGAACGCTTAGTAAAATATCTACAACCGTAAGGCTATGCACCACACTTACGTTTACGTAGAAATCCGAAGAAGTGGTGGAAGGACTTCTGTTAGCACCTGCATCCAACTGACTCGTCTCGAAACTCGCCGATGTATTATCAAGCACTGCTCTGGCTGAATCCATAAAGCAGGCCGGTTCATTCATTCCCTTTGCAGTCGAAGGTTTGGGACAAGTTTTGCGCTGACACTCACTGCAACCGAGACGGTCCCGCCAAAAGCAGCAAGCGGTAAAAATGGTTCCAATGCTGACCATGAACGTCACAAGAATGAATATGGCGCAAATCATTAACAGGGCCATCATTTGTCGCGGTTGCCTGCGGATAGCTTGTTCAGCCATAAGGTCGTTATTCGTTATCACTCTGAAGACATCCAAGTTTTGTACAGATTGTAGTAACATCCCTTCTAGAAGAGGAACCCAAGTCCTGTTCTCAATATATTGAGACAACTTCAAAAAGGTTAGCCCTTCCGGATCGGTTGAATTGACCGGTTCCAACAAGTAATTTAGCAAGCCCATGTCATGTGCTGGCGCAACGACATCTCTCAGTCTCCAGAAACAAGAAGTTAGGAATTGTTGAATTGTAGTGCTCATTATGACAATTAATAGTTCATCTTTCCTCACCAATTAATTCTTTTTCGGTGTCATTATCGTCTGTCTTGAAAAAGGTTGAGGTAGAATAGGCAACAAATAACACAATGGGTTTGATAGCTTATCGTAAAAGTGCGAAAGTAAAAAACATACGTGTTAATTTGTTATCAAGGTAAACATTTCACAGTTTCTACAGTTGGTTTCATGCAGTCCGTGCAATCGAAATTTAAACTCGTGATTTCTATCATTTCCTTGATTTCGCGACCAAAGTTTATCTGTGAGATTAAAAAAACCACATGAGCAAGAATGCACTAGTCCCTCAATCGTTGGGGAGCCATCTTGAAGTATTTGTTGTGTGGTTGCAGAGTAAAGTTTCCATCTGACACAAAAGCTCCGTCAGACCGAGTGAACCAGTGTATGACTGGTGCGGTATATATGGCAACGTGGGATAATATCGACGATGGTCTCTGAGGTTTCTTCCTCAGATGACATCCGAGGGGTATTAAACAAAGGAAAACGAGGGTGATTTTCGAGAATGTCCAAACGCTTCGTTCTACACTGGTGGGTCAAAAGGATTTACTACCTGCAGATATGATTACTAATTGCGTCCACAAAATTAGCTGCTAGGACTACGCACACGTGAATATAGGCCAAACCGCTGGAGAGCTAGGCACGAAGTTGGCAAAACATAAGAAACGCACGTCATGACTACCGAGGAACTAACTTGAATATTGACGCAGACGTTAGACACAGGGCATGAAAACGAGTTGGACAATCCCGAGACGTTGAAAATTGGTAAAGCTAACTGCTGATTACACAGTATGGATGGGGTGGCATTATCGAATGTATGGCGGTTCGTCTTAACCTGGCCGGTCTGGATGGCGTCAGCGGATAGATCCAACACAGAACTAAAGCAGAAAACCACTCCTACCCTCACCACTGGTAGTGGCTTACGCGTGATGTCAATTGTACAGTATACAACCGGGATCAGAAGGAAGCTAGGCATTGCCTATACGGAAATACCGCATATCGCGAAGCGGCTCTACCACAGTTGATGTCATCAAGTGAAGATATCAGGCCCCAAACCCCAGGCCATAGAAATATTTACCCTAATCCCAACCCCCTTTGGCTACAGAATCACGACACGCAACTTTAGGCACAGCGGCTAATGATGGATTTTCCAAGGGTCTGGGGTTCAAGGCCTGCTATCTCCACCTGTTGAGATGAAAGCAGGTTGCAACTCGTCGTGTTGTGTAGCGTTTTCGGACGGGTAATACACGCATTCCTTTTGCTTCGGCCACGTTCCTAGTGATTAACTGACAAGCGATCAGTTCAATGTAGTGCAGTAGCAATTACTTTTGCCGCCCGGGGCGGTGGTAATAAATTCGCCCTAACTGAGAACAGGATAGACTCGTGAAGGTCACACAATCGGATAAGGGTAAAGTGCACAAGAAACTGTAATTGATTTTCAATAGACTATAGGTTTCTACGCGTGTGCGAAAAATAGCAAGATGTATATGGAGGGTCGCTACAGTACTGTCGGTCGTAAGTAACTCTAAACATGGAATGGAGGGCTGACGCGTTTAGACGAAAGAGGCTGGTATGCTGAATACCAGCCCGCTACCAAGTCATGCGCTGTCTCAAAAATTGCGGGCGTATACCACTAATTTGCACAAACTAAGTGAAATGATGTGCTAGTAGTCCAGTATCTGTTCATGGTTCGATGAAACCTTCGTAGGCATTACTTCTTAAACGACTATGCATTGGATACCAGTTAACTTTAGCTCCGGCCAGGCTAGTGTGCGGTGTATTTCCTTCACCATTTAATAGTACAAAAAGGATGAATTAAAACCCTGTTTTTTTGTGGACCTCAACGACTCACTGAAGGAAAAATATTTGAATCCGGTTTTTCAAGGTATTTCAATTCAAGGCCCTCCCAAAGAATCAAAGGGATTGATGGAAACCTACCGTCCTACCTGCCCAATATGGTAAAAGTTTTGGATAGATACGTTCGACTTTATGCTGTTTTCCTACTGCCTTTGATTTACAACATGTAATATGAGAAAACCGATGAACGTAAGTAAACCCTAGATTTAAAACCATTTAAAATTTTGGTTAAAAATACTGTATTATCTAAGTAAATGCATTCGTTCTTCTATGATGCGTAAAATGTTCGAAAGTGCTTCTTACCTTTTGATGATAACAGTTGTCTATTCACTTGGAAGTCTTCAAGTATTAGGTATTATCAAATGATAATCCCGTTCATTCTACTTAGCCTCATACTACAGTAGAAAGTGTCTCTAAAACAACCAACCAACATAGACTGTCCCTCTGCACATATCAAATATAATACCTACTCATTGGAATACCATTTTTGATGGGTTACGTAGCGAAAATGTGTGGATAAACTACAACTGAACTTCCAGCAACTTCAATAATTGTGTCTCAGTATATGCTGCACATTTTCCTAAGAGTAGGTAAACGGAGCACCGTAAAGTTCTAACCTAATTGCTCTGTACCATGAAAAAATTGAAACATATTATCTCCTATAAAAATAGATCACCGAAAAAAGGTTTTAAGTTAGCACACTGAAACTAATTAATGGCGAACGTAGGGGCGTAGATGGGAAGTTTTGGGTCAAGACTTGGGCGTTATCAGTAACCACCCATTGGATGCGCACAAAAATGTTAACCGGACTTACTTGGATTTGTTTACTTAGTTAGCTAAGCCAAGAAAGTGGATCGCAATGCAACATTTTGGCTCTTCTCAGCTTTTTACTGCAGCATGGTTATTACCACATTTAATACGCGAATAGCTTGTGAATTCCTATTGTCATTTTGGCTACGCTTTGAAGTTTGTCGTAAAGGGCGTCTCCGGTGTGTTGATTGGTCAATATGAGCAGGATTTGACATCTGGCCAATACGTCTGTACTTGTGTGGTGCGTGTTTGTATGCGCTTAACGGTTGGTATGCTCCTTTGCACACGTAGTTTCAGAACGGTCGCCTTGACGACGCTGTCACTTTAGTAGATTTTCGTTAATCTCGAGGTCACATGTAAACCGCTGCCTTACGAATCTGAGTTGGTCCGGTGTGATTGATTATCCCTGGGTCAGAGGTTCTTAGCTTCTACCTCGACCGCAGTTGCAATAACTGACACCTATACTCATGATCACTGAGGTACAGGTGCATTTTTTCCGTAACGGAGGAGCACTTGAATAAATGAGTTTTACACAGAAGTAGTAGGGGACGTTGAATGTTATACCTCATCTCAAAATCAAACTGAAACATTTGTTTACCAACACGCACGAGAGTACAAGTTTTTCTAACTTATATTGCCCGCCGCATCCATTCACCTGTCTGCTTTCTGGTGAAATCAAAAATTGATCTTTCTCTTTTGAGCTACATCGCGCGTAGAGATGAGTTCATTCTACACGGGAGAGCGCCACACGAGCTTCTCAGCTGTATGTTTCGCGCCCAACGTACTACACTGAATGCTCTTATCGCCATTTGGTTGCTAGGGTTTGGAAGATAGCGGTTCGATCAAAATTTGAACTTCCTGATGCTCAAAATACTACGACGATTAATCAAACGGATTGCCGAATTGTAATCTGGAAGTCCACGAGAGTACGCAGACAACATCGGGATGCAATTTTGGGTTTGTATATATAATTTGAGAGTGGAATTATGTTCGGCAATTTCCACACTAAACAATGGTGTCCCCAGGGAATACAGGGAATTCGAGCAGCAACTGTACCGGGTGTCTTGTCCCACACCGCGACGGGAAATCGGCTTGCGTTGGCGCGGGGATTCCTACCATCAACTAGTAACAATCCGTACGGATCGGTATCACAGTAGACCACATTAGGCCTTGTCAATGGGCCAAAGATCAATTGTAACTGGTCGAACTGCGCATTCACTCACAAGTTACTCTAATATCAAATTAGCCCGAAACCACAGTAACTGGCAGTGCGATTTGTGGTGGACAATTGGGCAATGATCCACTCAAAAATATCTCAGTGCAGGCAAATGTTTACCAGATGCACATCAAATATTCAGGGATTCTCCGCCTTTTGTCCTTTTTGCTATTACGAACTCCATGGATTGCAGTTCTGCTCACTGAGGAGGTCGATGCCGCTTGGATTTTATTATCTGACTAGTGGACCTTTTAATGGACAATGTTGAGAAACACGCAGAATTGACCTCCGGGGCCGATGAGTTAGCGAATAAATCACACTAACGCAGTTGGTGCTCTGCAAAATTTTCTTAGCTGGAACAGTGATGGTGCTTCACTGGATCGTGCATTAACTGTTTCATGATCGAAGCTAATATTTTGGCTTTCTCATCTTTGTTATATTGTAAAAGTCAGATTGCGCAATACGTGTTGCTCAAACAAAAACGGAAAGGCGCATTATCAATGTTTACCCAATAGCTAGACATGAATTTAACAGACTAGGTGTAGAGAGCAATATGGGTTGCATAGTGTGGTTTTTCTCTTTCGAAACAGATATCTGTATATCTTTATCTACTGCAAATATACGAAGGATTGGAACTATTATATATTTTACGGCAAATAATGTACTCAAATCAACAACCATTACACTCTTCAAATTCAGTAATTTGTGGTATCTACCGCGACCACAAGTTATTTGAAAACCATTTCGGTGCGACTTGAAAAACTGGTATTCTCAATAAACTTGTAATACTACGCAACATGGAGTTGGTTATTTCCTGATTTTCTTAGGTAGACGTCACATAGGTTTATACCGAAACCATGAACGGCTTAATGGTCCTGCTGAAGTAACTTTCTGGAATAAATTATTGTCGAAGGAATTGGAGCCTACATACTTACAGTTGAAGAATAAAGTATATACAGAAGGCTTTATTGGGGCTAAAATTGAACGGTACAGCCAAACGGATCCCAATAGTCTTTACGCTGCATGAGAGGCGTCATGCGGTAAATTCTAACCAAAGCCTTTCACTGGTATTCAGAAGTATCCTTCTGGCGACGTACTTGCGACTCAAACGACATCAGACCAATTCACACCGCACCAGTGGAAAATTACTCATTTTGCTTGATTCCGTGGAGCAGGAAACATTGGGCGTACGATAAGACGTCTATCCGAGACAGCGAAGGAGCACAATCTAGCACAACTTGGAACTGAGAGGACCAAATCAGCCAACTCCCCAACATCCCCCACATATCACGGGGACTAAATAAACAACTGACTTGTTTAAATTTACGTATTAATCTCAAAAAACCGTTTAAGTCGCATATGCAGATCGCTATTAGAGCCCACGAGATAACTGCGATTTAGTCGTAAGAACTGGAGATGTGTGCTCAGAAGAGGCTAAGTCAATTGTTGGGTTTCCCTAGGCTGAGGCACTTTTTAAACTCTGACCAGAGTGATTATGGGCAGGAGATTACTGTAACCTAAATGATATCGATTGCTAGCGTCCAACCAACTAGGCTGTTCACGCATTTCGATTCACATTTGACTGCATAGACCAGGAGATGATCTAACAAAGCTGATGTTTGTTTAGTCTAAACATTTTGTTGAAAAATGAAAACATACCCAAATAATTCCGGTTACTAGTCTGTAGGTAACTAATGGATAAATTAAACCCCCTGCAACAGAGCCAATCATTCAACTAAGGTTTTCCCGAAATATGTAGTGAGCATCTCCATCCTGTGTCCGATGGGTTGAAAGCCTGTCATTGCATTTGTAAGTTGTAGGGAGATTTATTAGGTTTTGTGTACGTTCGTCACAGTTAGGCAGACAGCCGTTTCATCTTACTGGGACTCGTCAGTAATGCGCACCCGCCGAATCCTGCCGGATTTGAACCCACGACCTTACTTTTACGAGTCAACGACTTATGTCACTGAGCCATGGGCGACGGCACCGAACCTCCATGACTAATAACTAAATGCGATATAGCGCGGCTCATCCTCCACTGTCTTGCATGTTATGAATGTGCAGACGACAGGGCTGTCTCCAGGTAGTGGGTTCGAATCCGGCAGGATTGGGAGAGTGCGCGCTACTGACGAGTCCCAATAGGACGAAACGGCCGTCTAGCGCTTTCCTGGATGTGTGGTGACTGTCTGCCTGTGTCGGCTTGTTATTGCAGTTGATTTCTTTAATAAGACAGATCCGGTTTATAACTAAATCACTGAAGAAAGTTGTCTGCTCGATTGCGTATTTTATAACTAGGAGAAGGCAGTGCAAGACTAAGCACTCGCATACTCTCGTATATCAGGCAAGTGAATTCTGATTCGATTAAAACACGCTCTGGTGACTGAATAGCTCTGGCGGCAATAGGGATGTTCCAAAACTCATTGTCCTCTACCGTTAAACAGTTTGCTCTTTATGTAGGCGCGAAACCATTATATTGCTTGCAGTTTCCTTCTTGCAAGTAAAGCTATTTTTGGCAAGATAAAAGATACATTCCTCTTCTAGTTGCCAAAGCGGGAATGTGCACATTTGTTTGGCAGACGAAATTCACTTGACTTGTGTACGTATTCGCTTATACAAACGTATTAATTGAGACAAAAATGTGGAGGTTGGCTTGATTTGTTACACATTAGACGGTTAATTCATAAGACGGAGTGGCATCTGTAAAACAACCGCATAAACTGAACTTCAACTCATCCCATGAAGCGAATGAGTTTATACAATACCTAATTAGCAGTGCACAACTCACTGCTGGTTTTGATACATCCGGCAGGTGATCAGACTTCTCTATCGTACAATGACTTTGATCACAACTTATTACTTATCGCATTTTGGTCATGCAAATCTTGTTTGTCGTACATGGTGGATCAATCTAAGTGCTAGTACTCACAGGTACATACACCAGTGCTTCGTTCATGTCTACAAGTCTCAGATGGAGAAGACCCGACTTGGTGCATTATGGCTTAACTCCTGAAAACTTGATCTGTCGTCGTTCGGGTCACGCTCAAAATGCTCATGAAAATGGGAAGAATTTACTTCTAAATTTCGTGGCGCCTGGCTTGTATTTTAGTTTTTTCAACCTAGAATAAGTTTGAATAAAAGTACTATCCGTAAAAGCATTGGAATCCTACAATAAACAAGTAAGTTCTTTTTCCCCTAATGATTCTGGTTAGTGCATCTGTGTTTTCTTAGCTGTTGCTTCTCTCGCAGTAGCCTTCAGGGAAAGCATGAGTAGTTTTCTTGACTTATCGGTCAATTCTTACTAGTCGTGTTGCTGGGAGCCTCGTGCAGCTATTCAGAATAGGGTCCCGAGTAAGTGCCAACAGTTTGGCCTCTGCGTCCATGACAGGAATGACAGGCATTAGTTTGTTGACTATGCCGAAGAAACTGCAGATGGCTTATTGGAACCGCCTAAGATAAATGAAGGAATCGGGAGACTTGTATAACACAATGCATCTTTTAACGCCTAGTTTAACTCTAGTCCGTAATCCGTGATTATTTGATATTTGGCCATCAAGAATTTCTGCAGCATAATATAGCATGGAAACTGAAGGCATATGGGCACTTGCCGACTTCGGAAATTACTCACTTCGATAGGTGATCTTTGAATTAGGAACTGAGCGTCCTGTCGATTATGTTTCCACAATCGCACACCAACTGATAGAAGCAAAGTGATTTGCTCATGACCGGTTTATTGAGCTTTGTTGGAGTGCAACTACATTAACATCACTGTAAAGTAGTGGGGTTTCAGTGACCGGATGTTACCTTAAATCATCATGCTAAAATCATCCTAGTTCGACATAAATCGAGCCATTTGGCAGTCATAGTCGAATGTGGTTTTCCAAACATCTTCGATGAGAGATGTGTGCTAC